CACGACCAGCAAGCCCGGCTTGCATACACGTTCCGTTTTCAAGAGCACGGAGCTCTTCGGGGCTGGGCCCTGTTGATCTCTACCTCCCTGAGGCTCAAAAGAACTCAGTTCTTTCCCAGTAGGTCGCTTCGCGCCTACTGAGTCGTGTCGTTTCCCCTGTTTTTTTTAAGCAGTGGAATTTCTTGATTGATTCAGAAGCGTTGCTTGATTACGTAATACGTGCGACTGTCAAAAACAGTATATAATACGCGGGGCATTGGGGATACTAGATACAGCTACAATATTCGTGCGTCCTGCGACGGGAACATCGGTACGGTATTGAAGGTTATGTTGATTATTTATGAACTTTGACAGAGTTGAGTGATGTCTAATCCTGAACTTTATTCCAAGATAGAATCTTATCCTAGGAATGGCAAGACTTGAGCGCCATAAGCCATTGATCGACTGAGCTTCGAATTTTAGACTGTCGCGACTTTGTCCCGGTGTAGCTTTGGTGATACATGAAGCCTAACAAAGCGCGGAAACAAATCTCTTATAGCATATTAGCAAAGGTATTGCTAGGTGACTAGAGGATAGCTTGGGAGGCGAAAATATTTTACCAGTCACGGTCTGATGATTAGACTAAATATCAGTGATCGTATACTGCGATCGTCAAATAAATAAACTGTTCAGGCAGGAGAGACTGACTGTACGTCATAGACCCAAGAACTAAACTTATTGAGACGGTAAATACCAACTGTACGATAGTTATCATGTGCTAGGCTGATGAACAGTGGAAGTGACTGTGGGTTGCAAAATCTTGTGCCAGGGCTGGTAGAGGCGAAAGGAGAGTGTAAATTGCGGTCAGGACCACCATTAAAGGTAAGAAGGATCAATCCTCTTTGTCACGATATGATGGTACAACTGAGTCTTCGTTACCATGTAAGAAAAACACTGTGTCGAGCAGTATTGCAATACGAACTTTCAACTTTAACGGAGTTACCAGTGTATTTGTGGGGATTGTAATTTTTGACGCACAGCTTTTGATACAGGCTCTTGATAAGCTAATTATATACCTCAGGGGAGAAATCTTTCAAGCCGATGATTTGCTGATGGTACCGTAAAATTGCTGGGTTTATGCTTTCCTAAACCTATATCACGATCTACCAGAATGTAAAGCGCTCTGTTGGAGACACTGCAGTGTCTCAGCCTTTTTTCTGTTAACGTGCTATCCTCTGTTCTAAGGCAGCGACACGGCTAGCCGCTGGGGGTTCTTGGAGCATTGGCGCAGCTAAGACATCGCACCGACCCATAACTTTATTAGCCGTGCGCATGATCCGATATTTTCGTAACGGACCAATGTACCGGTAAAATTTAGAAAGCTCACTCACACGAGGGATAGTCGCAAAAAGGGTTGCCTTCCGCCGGTGCTGTACAACGATCAAGAAATGATGCACTTTCACATGAGACGGTTCGAGGACCGGTAGGTATAGTAGGGCTGTTGTAAGTATCTAGTTGGGAGGAAAAGATGCTCAGTCTTTGAAAAGTATGAAAATTTAAGGTCCCACTTCAGCAATATCACCCTAGCGCTTTCGATGCTGACGACCTGGCATACAATCAGGCTTTACCTCCCCTGACGAAAAAGCAGACCCGTCCGTCGCAACGCGCTTCTCAATCTCAAGTCAAATTCCACCTCAAGGCAGCACGATACCTGGACGGAAGCTGTAATGGAGACGAGCTGAAGTGAAAACGATAAGGACTCATGATGATGAGATTCCATCTCGACATCAGCGTCGTTTGTTGTTCGTCGCAAACACAAGAAGTTACCTGATGGTACTGTCGGGCGTTTGATTCGCTGAATCTGACTTGCATCGCTCTAGAGCGGGTGAGTAAATAGGTCTTCCTCACCCAATGCGAAATCTGAGTGTGATACTCTGAGGTACCATCGTCTGCGTCAAAACATGAAGCTGATTCTCATAGAGGGTACAAACTTGCTCAGATTCTTCAACTCTGAGCACAGGTGGAACTCTTATAAGTGAATCATACGGACTTTGTCGGTGCTACTTTCCAGTATTTTTATCGCTCTCTGTGTGAGCGAAATTCCTACACGCAGAGGCATGTGCGGATTTCGCCCCAGCGCGGTTAAAAATACAGACAATTGGAAAGCCGTAATCACGATATGACGAGATCGACAAGAGACAGTGTGCTTTTTGCGCTTATGGATGGGCGAGATAGCTTCCATGAGCGAGGTCCAGTTCAAAAGTGACATCTTGAAATCGTCGTGACAACCGCGGCGGGAAGCGGTCGGCATCTAGGTGGCAGAGTATTATCGTGTATTTTGATATGACACTTTCCTCCAGTTGTGCAAGCGCAAATTGTACAATCGTACAGAAGTGATATTACACCTTCTGTAACGATGAGCATTCAACAGCACCAAAGTATCGGTTAGATGATGAAGATGGAGACAGGCCTGTGGTGTACATGAACTCTTAGTCTCCCGTCAGGCGGTAGGGACGCTTTCTTTGTTGGAAATTGTAGAGCGTAATCTTACCGTATCCCAGCACTATTTTGACATAAGTTTCAAGACGATTAGTAATGGCTGTCCGCGTCGGTCGAAATTGATATACTTGTGCAAGTGGCTGGTTGAACCAATTCACTGTCAGCTAGGCCAATTAGGCTAATTATAAATCTACGGAGTGAAAAAATCCGATGTGACCTCGCCAGCGGTTGCTACGTCTTTTAGCATACAGGCAAGCAAGCCCAGCTTGCTGAACCAGGTACAGGCTCTAGGTATTGACTGAGTCTCATGGCGAAGCTTCTTACCCTTCTCTTCTGCACAATTTGTATGGATCAATTACGGGAGTGGCGAAATCTTTTGAAAGATGGAGAATCAGAGAGGATTCTCGTGGACAGGGAGGGGGAGCGACCCGGTCGTGCAGTTTACATTGATGGCGTATCATGACTCAGTAAGTCACTTCGATATTCTCGCCATCGAGCAAACTCACCGGTCAATGCCTTCTAGACGTCGAACACAATGGCCGCATCTCTGAGGCGAGTTGATAACGCGGATGTGGTTCAAGACTCAAAATTCGCTGTGATCGCTCTCACGGGAGAAAGCCTCGATTGTGTTTTGGGTATAGCCGAAAGGTTGTCGTCCGCAGGCTACGTGCATATCTCGTTTGGTTGCCAAACCTTGCACAATAAAGGACAGATTTGGAAGAAGATTGTCAGCTTGACATCTGTTTGTGAAGGCTGGCACAAGTAAGTGCGATAGGTGCAAATAGTTACCGGTGCAGCTAATGCTCGTGAGGGTGCGCGGTCTTGCCATACGACCCAATATATGTGGTTCAGTTATATTCCAGTTGAAGTGCGAAAGAGTTCAACGAAGTACAGTATGTATCGTATTGTACGTGAAAAACGCATTATTGTCCCTGAGTTGGACCAAAGTTTTGAGTTGCCAAGGTGGATAACTACGATGCTGCATCTTTTTAGTTTTTGGCACAATGAGAGCTTTGAGTCTCAGTTATAATATATCCATGTAGTCCATGGGCTGCTTGCCCCATCCTATACATAATTAGAATTTAAAGGTATTAATGACAGGGTGCTATGTCGTGATATCTGTCAGCCTATTTGAGTTCCGATTTACTTTTCCGTTTGAAAGCACGGCTGTTTGTATCAATGTCATCGGAATCAATTTGAATCGTGAGCAATCACTCACCTCGGCATGATTTACGCGTACCGCGTCCGTTCACCGAGGCGGAAGGTGTCAAAGCGCTTACCTACAAGGCCTCTACCCATCAAAGAAATTCAGCGAGATCAATTTGTTCGTTTGCAAGCGCAAACGTCTCAGCAATTTCAAGAGATGACTCACGACATAAACAATCGTTATTCAGGCTCTAGATAGGTCAAAATACTGATAGCTGCTTACTGTGCCACAACACAGACCTTATGGTGTCGGAGTTTATTATGAGTGAGAATTCCATAGGCGGAGATCGCTTTGTGAGCGCCTACTTGTTCGCGTCGACTTTGATTCCTTAGGATCACCACTGATGTATATCCGACCATACAGAGGAGTTTGTGTCACAGACTCAGAGTAGGACCCTGTTTGATACAGGCGACTATAATACGCAAAATGGCGGAAAAGCTTTTTATCCTTTATTGAGTGATCCTCTGTGTCATGGTGTGGTGGTATGGTTAATCTTGCAACATAGAAAACGTGCCTGTTGTGAAAAATCAAGTTGCATGGGTTTGGGCAAAATGGGGTGGTTGTAGATAAATGTCATATTTTATGCTGCCACAGACAGAAGTACTTGTCGACTTTAAATGGTTAACTCGCGAAAACGTGTGCAAGAGACATAGGAAGGGCGGGGTCACAGAGATATTTTAGTATGTATTGTTAGATAGACCTGAAGTCATTCATTTCATATCCCATTACTGATAACATTTAACGAGTACTGCGTGCAAGAAGTTAATGACTCAAATTCAGGATCCCATATATTTTACAAATCCTCGCGGAACAAAATGATAAAAGGTCCCATCACTGTTGATCCCGCATTGACGGTATGTGTCATGAAACTACCATGATTTTTGAAGCCACATTCTGTGTGGCGCGTCGAATGCCCATACCAAAAAAATAGTGCGATGTCAATTTCGTCATGCAAATGGCAAGCTAGTTCTACCACCATCTCGGCGCAAACACTAATTCTTAAATTTGACGTCTTGTGGAGTTGCATAATTAATCGACCCTTGTTTAGAGTTATTGACCTAACTAATGGTTACTATTATATACTTATCAAATGTAGTAATTGCTCATGCACTAATTTTCTCGGGCAAAAGTGGCAGGCTATGCCTCAGAGGGCGCCCCAAGCATCAGCAGCATTCAAAATGTTTGACTACACAGCTATTCAGGACGCCAACCGCATACGAACGAGTATACTTTAACGTTACATTAAAAACGGTCGTACGCAAGGGAAGTTGGATAATATATTTATATCAACTATTTATGGGCAGTGCTCGACTGTAGAACCATAAGTAGCTATGTTAGCAGTCTCCGAGCAAAATCTTTTTTTGGGGTGCTGCAGAAGTTTCCGCAAAAATCATAACCATTGCAATTGGGGTACCATTATCTCGAAGAAATTTCAAAGAGAATTTTGGCCCGGTCAACTACATGCACAAGTCCAGTGTAATGCATGCTGACGTGGCACGGCCTCTCACCAATATTTCAAATAAAAAACAACTGGCCATGACATGTGACTAAAAAAGCTCCCTATAGGAGTCGACAAGATTCAAAATTTTGGCTTTTCCGAATTTACATAGGCCATGCATGTTGTCTACAACAGTCAAGAGTTTGCCAATGGGTTGCGCTTCACTTCAAGCGGGTGCTAAGAGACATGAACCTGTTGTCGCATACAAAAATTGCTGTTTAAAGCTGTATACACTTCATCTGAAGAACTTTTACCTATTGAGTCTAAATTTCACAGGTTCAGGGCACGCCTGCTTGACTCCTAGCAATTTGTAGCCAGTATAGATCGTTCATCATTAGACACAGCAATGTCGTCGCCATATTATTATAAAATGGTGATGATTTTCCAAAAACATATCTGGGACATTTTTTTGGATATACACATTTGTCAGCAGGATGTGGTTGCAGCTGCACTTTCGTGTTGCGCGGTCTATGAGCTGTTTTTCGAAATGATGATGCCGCAAATTGACGAGATTGTATGTATGGCGTATGGGTTAGATGCAACACGTGCTGCGCTGTTAAAAGTGCCCCAGGTTTGCTGTGTTACATCACCCACGTATTGTGTCAAGCAAGCCGGTGATGTAACACAGCATGCGGAACATTTTCGTCTCACGCGTCGATACCGTCGGCCAGTCTGCCAACTTTTGTAGAATTATGGCTGTCCCGTACATAGACCATACTTATAGTCTTCGGTTTGACGCGGCAGGTTATATCAAAATTGTGATTTATGTGGACCATCTGAACAATACGCTCCATCTTGATGGAGTCAGCGATTCTTTATTCGATGATGAGACAGCCAAGTTACACATCGATATAGTTCGCCTGAATATGGCATCTTGGCGGACATCGTCTCGGATCAAGATTCGTTCTTCGCAGCAAAGTTCTAACAAATCCCCGTAAAGTTGCTCGTCATCCGATCAGACATGTCCACCGAAGATCATGGCTGATCATATGATCAAGTGGATGGTTGGAGATAATTTCCCCCACAACATATGCGTGAATAGTATGCGCCTTTGGAATGGAATGCTTCCATGCGTTGAGCATGCGTAGAAAAACACATTAAACGCTTCTACAAGATTTGCCACGTTTCAACCAGTGAATTTAATCATTAGTGCCTTCTTAACATGAGTTTCATTTTGATGTAAGAAGATTCTCGACACGATTCGACTTGTTTTTACGATTACTCCGCTACAACTCGCAAAAATAATTCATCTCATTTAAAAAAAATCATAAGACCTGCGCCGAGTGCGCAACTCTAAGACTGAGACTAGAATGTGCATAAGCAACATGCATACCAGAAGCTGACGCAGCATGCAAGGGATTTTCATGTATTATCAAACGCTATTAACCTGTTTAGATATATGCCTGCAGCCGGCATGACTAAGTTGTGACCTCGCTAAACTAAATCTCCCGCCGTCTTTAATATAATAAAAGGCGTGGTCGATTTCAAAGTGGAGCGGATAGTGGACCACCGGGCTGACCACGGTGTAACAAGTATTCGGCGAAGCGGAAGGATTACACTCATTTTGATATCTTTTGGAGGATTCATGCAGCGGGGCTGCCTTAGCGTTCTGCTTAGCGGAAGCTAAGCTAAGGTCTCCGACCTTATGTCCTTCATAACTTCCTGTGCGAGTGCAGCGGATCGCAATGCACTACCTTCAAGAGTACTGAAAACCTTCACCATGGTAACTGAACCCTTTTGTCAAATATAAACAATATTTTTTGTTTTAGTTGCGGCAGAGCCGCCAATATCTAAAGCCCTAGGTTTTCGTAATTAATTAAGTATTACCTAATTAATATAGTAAAAACTAATCAATATAGTAATATGCATTTCTACTGGCAATCCTGCCACGTGGTGGTTTCTTGTCACGTGTTGCCACACCACTGTGTGATTACACCAACTTAAGTAATCCACACCTATGTACAGTCACACCATCTTGTGCGACCCGCCCTTTCATACAAGGGTACGTTTAACCCCGTTAAAATTCATGCTTCACTGAGTCAAAGTACCTTGATGCCGCGAGCGCTCCAACTAACCCTTCTCATTAGCAGGGAATGCAGGGTTGCTAGCGAGTAAGGCTTGGCCAATTTCAAACTCAAGAGTGGTCACTATCATATATAACAGACTCGTAAATGATAGCATAAATAACAGCCTCGTGAAGATGAGTAAGGTGAGATAGGCCATATTTAGCCATGAATTTGAGGTGGATCTCTGTAACACTCATCCCCCACGACGTGTAATATAGGGACAAATATTGAAGGATTACAGTAGGCAGATCATACATGTGACATAACTGGATGATATCACGAATGCGCTAATTAGTACAGAATGATGGTACCTACTAAGGCATTTACACTGATGATGAGACTCAAGTGTTACCACCATCGCAAGCAAGCCACGCGAGCCGGTCACCTTGCAGGACTTCTTCATAAAGACGTTTTTCGAAGTTTTACTGCGTTCAATCTCAACGCTAGGTTTAATCTACCAGGGCCATATATTTTACTTCAGCATGTGTAAGTTTCATACGTATAAACTCTAGGATCGCTGTGATTTTATTCATGTAACTCCAAAAACCAGAATGCATCTACGTTTCAGATGCAATTTAACCGCATTCATATCATGTCTCTCTTTAAAGCGCAAGCGTTCGTGCCGTGTTTGGGACTTTCTCGTATAGCCTTCTACGCAGAGTTGTTGAAAGCAGGAAATGAAGAAGATGAAACTAGACCCCGAGATCCTCATCATGTGCTTTGCAATGTCAAGCATTATACGGCGATCCTTTTTTTTGGACGCTTACTTCACTGATGCTGTCCTGCAGATCGTTGATATGGATGAACAAGCATGCTTTCTTCGCCAGGTACTCATACTATGTAAGATAGTCTTCGGCAAATAGCCCAGCATTCATTGTTAGTCTCCACCAATTTTGGGGCGAAACACTGCGACACACACTTATTCGTATCCACCGACTCTAGCACAGCTGACTCTGACTTGCAGCTTCAAAAATTCGACCATCATAGATATAATCGTGGGACCACGACAAGATATTGTTTAATCCTATCGCAGCAGATGTACACTCTGAAGACCACGATGATCGAAAAATTGTACCTGCATCATTTGGATTTACGACTCAATACCGTTTCCATTTTTTCTTTCGACTTTCTAACCTTTTCAATATATTGGCAGCACGACTCCGCATTCCGTCGAGTTTCTTCGAGACCCGAACCATCCAAAACTGATGATCAGCGTAGTTTGGCTGAAATCGACCTTCGATTGTAGGAACACGACCTCCAAAATATCATCAGTGTATGGCGGCATCGTGAGTGACTTCCTCGTGCTGGACCATTTCTTACATCGGCGGCAACAGTGTCAAAAGAACATCTGTCTCGGTAACTTCACAACCAATCGTTGCACCCACAATACGTGGACCAGCATATTTGCATGCTACATTCCCATCATGTGAAATAGTACGTTGGACTAACTCATCGGCGGCTCAACCGCATCCAGAGCGGGATTATCGGTACCGCGATCAACAAATGTCGTTGATTCCTTCACATGTGTGTATGTGCTCAACCACGCAACGGGTGTGAGCATCGCCTATGTGGTCAGTTGTACACACTGACCCATAATCCGACTCAACCACTGTATTTGTGGGAGGAATGGCATTTTTGGCCCCAGTATCACATCTCGACAACAAACTGTCTTGAGCGATTCGGAAAGTCCGATGTCCTGCACCAAAGCTACCGTAGTATCATGCTCGCGCCAATAGCAGTTTCCTTATTTGCACATGTAGCTTTCATGACTTACTAAGCTTAAATTTGATTAGAAGTGTGTGTTTCTAGTGTATACAAACTCATGTCGGTTCATGACTTATGTCAATCATACTACGCCATATCGGGGATGATGTCGTTTCTCGAATTAGGTTCATGGACCATACAGTACTCCACGCTGTCAGAACCCTCCTACTCTATTTAATTGCACTAACGAGATACCCCATCGCAAGTCGCACGGATATTGTATATATATTATATCTTTTGGTGCTTTTGCGGACTCATTACTTCATTTGACACTTGCACGTCGTGCGAAATTCACGAGATTTCCGAATCCCTTAAAACCTTTCGCGACTTTACAAAGCTTGGGACGTCGATCTTTACATCCAATGGCCCTAAGCTATGAGCCTCATCTCTCTTGGTGAGGATCGATTCTTTCAGAGCGGCTCAAATGGATTACGACACTCAAGATCTTCCTCAAGAGTGACATATATTTAGAGCTCTGAAATTTAATCTAGCCTGTATTTCTGTGCTTGTGAACATCACTGTGTATTGCATGGCGTAAAGTGTTTATCCAACGTTGTTTTAATGGAGATCAATGCCAGTAAATTTGGTGCGTCCTAATTTTGTAGACTTGCACAAAAATGCAATACGTAGTTTCTACAAAAAGTGATTTTTTGTGTGAGCGTACACTAATTTCATGTTGGCCCACAAGGCATTAGATAAAGTAGTTGTATACTGGTATATTTGTAGTATCATATATAACTAGCGATTGAAAATTTAAGAGTAAGTCATACATGTTTATTTTTGAGATCATCAAAAGTATCATCAGTGACTAACTGCGGCAAATAAAATGCTATTCCTTGTGATCGTCTGGTAGTGCTCGTGATGTGTCAAAGCTAAAAAACATTTATACTTTTTAATAAGCATTGACTCAGTTTGGTAGTCGAGTATTACAATATTATCATATTGTATGACTTTGAGTTCAGCTTTATCTCAATATTTGTACAAGATTCTGTCTGACGTTGCGACTGATGCTGCCACGTAGAGCGCTCTACAATTTGACGTTCTTACAAGAACGCGAGCTGCGCTGATCTGTGGTCATATAGTAGCTGCATGAGTTCTTTGCCTGCATTTTAGTTATCTTAAACAAAATATACTACCATTCACTTTTTAGCATAATTGGTTTCATCAAATAGATAGGCGGGCATTAATATTTTATGACAGAAAATAATGCCTTATGCTGCTAAGTTCTGAAAAGAAGCAGTACACAACTCAAAAACAAGAGGATCGCTCTAGTTTAGAAGCTTGACTCAGGTGTTCATCAAGCATCTGTGCTAATATGTGCTATTCGTCACATTGTTGCCCGAAATCTGAAGGGACATTTTTTCTGCCGTGAAAGAGCTTAGTATTCGCAGTCTGAACGTAAAAGAATTCTAAACTTAACTGAGTCCGGTTACCATTTATACTCAGGCACACTAGAATCGACAGCACAAAAATACGACGTACAAAGATCACGACGGTACCTTGTGTTGAACGCACACCGAAAGCATGGAAAGCACATATCGTGCCCCAAATCCAGCTGCTTTCCACGACACTGCAGCAATGCCAGACGTCCAATTAATGCTTGGCTGTTCACTCCTTTAGACGAAACATGAACCGTCGTGATGACGAAGGTCGCTTTACTCTTCAAAAAGTTTAAGGACCTGAATATCAACTTCTTCACCATTATCAATGCTCAAATTTTATATATATCGGGAGCTGTATATTTCTTACACCATCTCCGGATAACTCAAATACCCCAAAAGGTAAAATACAATTGTTGCTGCTGTCAACATTGATTTCGTACAATGTTCCGTCTGGGCTTGCGAGCACACAGATGGTAGAATCTGTTTTTTTCTTGTTTACACAAACGTTCAAAATGTGATCTCACTGCTGTCGACAAGCTTGCTTTTATCTTATTCTCTGGACCAATTTGAATCTTGCGTCACGTATCTATGTAACGAATACTCTATTTTTGCTAGGGTTAGCGTGCTAGTCCCCTAATTGCTTACAAAGAAAAAGAATCTGGCAATGTGTACTTTTTAGTCTTACGAACTTGATAGTGCAACTTGTCGTCCCAAATCGGGAACGAACGGTAGGAAGAGACGAGCCCAAGCTCAGAGCCCCGAGCCCCGCCTCCCTCCCACAGATTTACACGCTCGCTCACGTGAGCGTAAGTTGCTTGCAGGGTTTGAGAGACGACGCCCAGAAGTTACGCCGTTTGCTGAACAACGCGCTCGAAGCAGCGGCATAAGATAAGAAAAGAGTAACTTCGCATAACCATGTCACGAGTAAGTTTTTAGGATGGATGGTGGGAAAAGAATGTTTCTCACTGACAGGAGGTGCGGAATCACGTTATTTTGCAGAGTCTGGTGTTTCTGGAGCAAGTTCCAACGTACGTGTACCAAAATGTTACTTTTCAAGCTTCTGTCCAGCTAATTGATAACCAAAAGGGCAAAGTCACAGGGTACGTACGTACAATGCACGACGAGTTCCTTGCTCACATTATTTGTTTTGTTACAGCATTCATCAGCCGCTGCAAGTGTCTCTGCGTTTTCATGACACATACGATCTTGTGGATATTCAAGATGCAGAGCTTCGAATGACTTCTGACGTTTATTTGAATCCAGACACGGGTATATCCGTGTTTTCCATGAGCTTGCATACCTTTGCCGCCACTTGCGATGGTCGCAATTTCTGTCTTGAGGTGCGCAGTATCGACTCAGATATCGAATCAGTCTTTTCATCACCAGTACATGTTGTGAAAGAAAAATTACAAATCATAGTACAGCCACCAGACGTGTGGTTTAAAGACGAAGGGGGTCGAGAAAAGTGCATGACTGTAGACTTAACATTGGTACCTGCACCAGGCACGTATGTGGAAGACCGAGTTGTACCACTGGCTGTGAAACTTTTGTACGAATCAGGGTGTCTTGTCTCCAATCCGAGTATTCTCAGACTATTTCCTGATATGAGACCCAATATGACACATGGGCGTGCAACAATTTCATTTCGGATTGATGATGTATCAAAAAATCATCAAGGACAATCATTCATGCTTGAGATTGGGCCGGAACAACAGGAGGGAAGTTCGATGTTTCAAGATATTGCACCGACACGTACCTCGGTTATTGCCATTCGATCGAAGCGAAATAAGCGAAAACTTAATGCACAAGGTGCTGCTTATGGAATGCGACCTTCTCCTCGAAGTGTTGCAGGTACTCCACGTACTGCGTACATTGGCATGCAACATTCTCCTCAAGCCGTCGGTGGAACTGGCGCATTGATTGAGCCACATCCGCGACGAGCGCGCAAATATTTTGCAACAAGTAACACTATGGGGTACGCAGGTGTCGTACCGCAACAATCCATAAGTACCATGTCCTGGAGTAACCACTTAGGACAATCTCCAGTGGTACCTACAATGCAATCACAGACGTCACCAAATCAAGTATCATTACAGTCACCTGATAGTCCTGGTGCCGTGGAATGGGCTCTTAGCGGCTTTGAAATTCACCCAGATGGCTCGATGAATACAGCTCGGCCAATTTATCGCTGTCCACAATGTCGCCGTCTAAATGATGTAGATATGTTGGCAGCTGGTCCAGCGCTATCGCATGGCCCACAGTGTGTTTTCTCTCCGTCGCCTAGTACGGGCACAATGATGTACCGTTCTCAGATGGAAGGGACGCCTATGAATCAAATGGCGCCTTCACGGGGGTACACAATGGAGTACCATCCATTACCACACAGTATGGAACCAACACATTCTTCAACGAGCAACTGTGATAGCAGTACAATTGTTGACTCCTCGACCCTGAATGTGCAACAAAATACAATAAATATATCATCCAAACCAGATGACGTATCACCGAAGGTATTGACAAACTTTGATCACGCATCTTCTCAAAGACCGTCGATGGCAATTTCTCCATATATTAATAAAGAGACAAACGATGTACATTCGTCTGGGACTAATGATTTTGAACATGGAGGTACCAGTGGCAACTTATTCGAGAGCAATGCATTTCACAATCAAATGGAATTAATGAGCAAGAGTACCGATAAATTGTTTATGATTAAGACGAATCGGATTGAAGATGATCCAGCATTAGATATAGCACAAGAAGAACATTCTCAAGCGTATACGCAAGATGCGACTTCGTCCCTTGGTGGCGTCATTGGGACAAACCTTTTTAACGAAATGACGAGCATGGGCATAAATTTAAACCAGAGAGATCCGCAATTGTTAGGTGGATTTGGATTGGACAATGGAGCATTGGGATCGAATGGTGAAGATCAAGTATTTTATATTTTGGCTAGAATGTATACAAATGCTCAAGATCAAAAACTTGGATTGCCAGCTTTTGATCAGTTCCATCGCATGGTACGTCTATGTGTGGCGTATTGTTTCGACCCTTGTTGACAGAAACTAATGTTGTGTTGGTTTGATTGTAGCTTGGATTTTATAGTGAAACACAAGATAATGTCCAGACTCAAGTAGTGTTTCACCCATTGATCGATGTTTGCTTGACGGATGAAGAGCGTGAAACGATTACTTCCCGATTTGTTGAAGAACTTGGACGAGACTCACAGGCAGTGCATTCTCTAACCAAGTATCAGCACAATCTTATTATGTTGCGTGAGGATGCTCTGATGTTTTATTGGAGTCAGTCGCTTGTCTAAGCAGGCACTCGATGGACTGACTGAAGGAACAAAAGTATCAGGGACAAGGTACCTGCATGTGACGTGAATGTAGTTGTGAGTACTGTGTATGTTGTTAAAGTGAAAAGAACTTGCGTCGTATTGCAATTATTGTCAAACTTCTTTGCTTTCAGTCCCCAAGATTTGTAGTTGGTAGATAACTACACGACCGTAGAAATCTGTGCTGCGTTGAAAAGTGATTGCAATCGCTTCGACTTGTTCCACGTCGCATGGAAACTCTTGCAAGTCGTTAGAATCGTCTGGATCGATTTCCACATCGTTTTCTTTCCATTCGCCATCTTTGGTGTGCTTAATATGTACTTGAATGTCCTGACCTACGAAACCTCCTTGAAACATGATAGATAACGTATAAATATTGACAAGACGATGAAAATGCACTTGCACTTGCTGTGGACTGCCTTGTGCAGAATTCCAACAGCTCGACAAATTAGTGGATAAAATGTTAGAAACACCATAGAGTTGTTTATTGCGGTCCAATGTGGACGACGCGCGGCATGTCGTGCGATGGTCAGCAGTGAGTAGGACGCTAGACCTCATGAATTGCCTCACAGTCTTTTAATCCTATCATTCAACATATGGAAGCTTTTGCTTTTGTAGTCCACACCAATCACTCGGGCCAGACGTTCTCGAATCCGATGTCAGTACAAAACCTTCTCACTAGAAAAGAATAATAGACGAATCATGTCGGAGACCAAAGCTTTGTGGGCACCAGTCAAGTGGGCACAGCGCAAGGATGCATTGTACGTAACTGTGGATCTCCCGGATGTTAAGGACGAAAAGGTTTCACTTAACAGCAAGAATCTCACTTTTAAGTACGTTGGCAAGATCCAATAATTGTGTCCTACATGACAAAAAATTATCATGAGTATTCATTTGCTGTATTGTAGGGGTACTAGCAACGGCAAAGTTTATGAGGTGACACTAGACTTTTTTAAAGAAGTGGATGCTGAGGCTAAAGACAGTATCTGGGCCAAGACGGACCGTAATTTGCACTTTCACATTGTCAAGAAGAACCAGGACGAAGAATTTTGGCCACGTCTATTGGTTGACAAGAACTTGGAAAAGACGAATGTAAAAGTGGATTGGACCAAATTCGTGGACGAAGATGAAGATGAAGAACCAAGTGGCTTTGACATGAGCGCGCTGAATGGCGGGGGCGGTTTTGATATGAACGAAATGATGGCGGCACAGAATGGAGCAGGAATGATGGACGATGGCAGTGACAGTGACGATGAAGATATGCCGGATCTTGACCCGAACGACAAATAGGACAGAAATGGTTGTCGTTCCTTTTTTGCAAGTTTTTTGCAATACAATATAACGAAAGGAAACACTTTACTGCATTGTACGTTGCCATAGTCTTGTAACTGGATAATTTAGCAATTCTTGAAAAACATGCAATAACTTTATGCAGCCAAGCAAAACATGCCTTTGCCTTCGGGGTATTTTTGAAACCGCACATTAGAGAAGAGGATCTTGCGCACTGATGATTTCCACACAGGTGATTTTCGTTGATCACTACAGAAGATTTATCACAACTGATTAAGTCATAAATCTTATATTTCATCGTGGGCTTTACATACCTTTCTAGCTTCCAATTCAATTGGCTCTCGTATTCCATCTCAACAAAGTCACAAATTTCTTTAAATGAGCCCTGCCATACCACAACCCCACTAAGTTATATTTGAAAGGAATACCATAGCAAATGTACCACCTACTTTGCCACCTGGAAGTACAGTAAGTGCATGCGAAATCATATCGCCATACGTAACACTTGCCGCCGGTTTCCGATATTCTGAGTAACTTCCATCGCATTGGTAACCGAATATAGACGCATAATACTTAGTTAAGGCCACGTACGGTTCTCCGGAATGCCTGCACAGTCGTTCTTCTGGCAAGCTGGACAGTACCAGACTTTCGGTGCGTCTTCATATGGATCAAGATTGACACAATCCATGTGGTACCAATTTGACCGCTCGAGACACTTTTTGTTATCGCACGCAATCATATTGCCAAAACTCGTACCCTTACATATACAATAAAGCCGTCCTTTTCGTTTCTTCTTTCTCTGCACGATTTCAGCATCGCTACTATCGGATCTCCCTCGTCGGTTTCCACCGATTGATTTCAAATTTGTAACAATCACTCGCGTCTTGTGTGGATTTAAGTGCCGTTTACGAATCCATCTTTTCTCCTCTTGGCTGCAGTCAATGAACTGGTCACCATCTTTGGCTGTAAACGTACTCTCTGATGCAAAACTATGGTACATCTTCTGTCGGCTTTCATTCTCCTTAATGTGACAATCACTATTGATCTGGCGATATGGTTGCGCTTGCAGCAACTTTGCTGCTTCGACAGTGTCGTTTGACCCTGTAAGCTACAAAGTGAGATAGAATCATCAGTCCTTCTGTTCTTGCCTTACAGGGATATTTTACATACATAAGTTACAAATGACGCGAGACTCGAGCTTTCGTCAGTCTTCTTGCATTCTTCGTGAAAATGTCTAAAGGGTTTGCATATTGCAACATACATCTTGACACAGAACCAAAATAATGTTGCTCTTGCAAAGTGCAACGTACCTGGCAACAATCACTGCTAATTGCTCTTTTGACACATGTTGCGCGTTTGGAATGCCATGAAACATCATATATCTGCGCAAAGCATCAGGCTACATTGACACAATTGCACAATTGCAACAATAGTATCACAATTGCAAGCACATATAATTCAGTTTAATCTGCACTTGCGTACCCTCAATTTGCTGAAATCCACAGCTATCTGCACTGGATACTCATTGCGCTCACTTGGCACCACGTTCGACGATAATTCGCAAGCTTTTTGGGTGCTGGTGCTCGGCATATCCTGTTGCGGATCTGCCATGTCGTCGTTCAGACGAACTTGATTCTTTTTTGTATCCATACTGACTTTCAACCAATCGCGACACATGTTTGGAAATAGCGAAATGACAGTGCAATATATTGGTGCAACTTGCACAATAAACACAATTGCAACGTACGTCTGTATTCTGATCCTCTCCTACTACCTTATACTTCTGACGTTCATTCTTTAAAACTCAAAGCTCTCCATCGGCGCGGACGGCAGTTCGACTGTAGTTTTCACAGGCGCCCGTCGCACAACTTCAATCTCTCGAGGTGCAACTTCCACTTCACGAGTACCGACTTGTGTCTCTAACTTGACACGAGCCAATTCTTGTTGCCGTACTTGTTGTTCTTGTTGAAGTGTCGCCTCACGACGTCGGTGGTGCTTTTGCTGCTGTTTTTGAATCATCTCCCGCTTCACGTCGCCAACAAGCGACGAGCGCGGTGCAATGGCTGCCGACAATTGCGCCGTGTCGTCATCACTTTGAAAACTCGTTTTATTCGATTCTGCAGCCAATGATGCATCCACCACGGGTGTCGAGAGACCTTCCGACAACACGTTTGACTCGTTGTCTTCAATTAAGTTCGAATCGTTAACTTGGAGACTCATGCGAATGGCCAAGTCTTCTTGATGCAGTTGTACCGCCTTCTTGCGCTCGGCTCGTTCACGTGCGTGTTCTTCACGTTTCTGACGACGCTGAAGCTCAAGCAAATCTTCGCTTGGCTGCGATTTACGTGTCTCCTGCATAGCTCGTTCGTCCGCCATATTTTCCATTTCTCGGGCATGGTTTTGTTGTGCGCGCTTCTGTTGTTCATCCTTGACCACAGCTGCAAGTGCTGCATCTTCCTGTTCCTTTTGTATTGCTAGCTGTCGACGCATCTCTGCGTCCTGACGCTGCAGTTCTTGCTCGTGTTGTCGTTGTATTTCTTGCTCGTGTTGTCGTTGTATTTCTTGCTCTCGTTGCTGTTGTAATACTTTCTCTTGCATATATTCCTCTTCCAAACGTTGCTTCTCCTCCCTCTCGTGTTTCTTCATACTCTCCATTCGCACTTCTTGCTCATTCATCGACGGTATGATATCGGCACCAGTACTATGACGCTGGCCTACACCCCGACGTGGCACTGAAAAGTTCTGAAAATCCCGTATCCCAGTTGCACTATTTCCCGACATGATGCTATTTCTCGACGGTATTGCTGGCATGGATGCACGCTGCATCGGTTGGCCTGCATTGATCCGAAACGCCATCACGAGCTTATCAACCCAATCATTCATTTCCATTTCCGTGCCTGCAGCTACTAACAAGCGACGCTCAGGTGCATTTATCGCGACACGCCAAATCGTTGAGGCTGAACTACCGGTTTTCATACTGTCGGCCGGCATGACCTCGAGAACCCCTTCGTCACAACCTTGTAAACTCAGTTCGCCCTTCTGCTCGCCATCTTCAAATGTAAAGTACTTGAGACGCGATGGTGTAAGAACGAAATAGCGCGGTTTCCAATTTCGACGTCCAAATGGACCCGTGCCGGAGCCCTTTTTGAATAGCACGCCTGTGCGTAGGATCTGACTGTCACTACTCATTGTTTTTGATACTGAACCGTGCGAAAGAACGAAAAACGGAGACTGACCTGCTAAGTACGATGAAGGAATACTAAAAGCAAGCGACACTTGATTCTGTCTGTCGAGGTGTCAGTTGGATGCGATAAAATCCTGACAGAAAGGATTGTATCGTTTGCATTGGCGTAAGTTGTGTTCACGTGTTTAAAGACAAATTTTTGGGCACTGGATTTGACCCAACAAAACCAGTGCCAAGTGAAAGCAGGTTGATTAACAATGTCTATTATTATTATTTGTCGCGACTTTTCTCGCGCCTATCGCCACTCAGACAATCGCTTCATAGCATTACACTTATTACAAGCCGGCGCATGTTTAAAATTCATATGTCCGCAGCCAGCTTTACTACATTCCCATTTGTCCGACAACGAGATTGCCGTGGCCGAGACAGGTGCAGGCAGACCTCGAGAGTGCGCAGTTCCCACAGGCTTCTTTGCCGCTTCCTGCTTTTCAAGTTGTTCGAAAAAACTCCGCGCGTCAACACTTGGTTTGAGTGGTGACACTACCTTCATATTCTCACTATTCTCCTCAAACGATGTCATTTGAACAGAAATACCCGCTTCTGATACCTTCTGGCCATTGTCTTTGCTCTCATCAAGGCACTTTTTCACCTTCTTCTTTTTCTTTTGCTTGGTTTGGGTTCTGCGCTTTTTGTAATGACCCTTAATGCTTCCCGAGTCAGATGCACTGCTATAACTGTGTCTTCGGTCTGAGCGGCGCTCGATGGAGCTTCTACAGCTTGAATTTGAGCGGCGTTTATTCCTTCGAATAGAACTTCTGGACCGATGGTGACCGGTGGCTTGATCGCTACGGCTTCTACCTCGGCATCGCCTCATGTCAGCTGCGTTAATCAAATACTTTACTTCGTAATTGCAAAATAATTCGTCGAGGCAAATTATAAATAGTATAATAAAATGAAGAGAATGCGCAACAAGCTAGAGGGATCAATAGAGACAACATCAAAAACGACCAAATTAGTCTTTCTTTATTAGTAGGCACTTAATAAGCTTCATGTCCTCATTTTTTTGTTGAATTGTAAGAAAATTCGCGGAATGTTTGATGTCCACTTCAAAACATAAACTAAGTACAACGGGCGACAACAACACCTTTACTTTCTGCTCGTGCTATATAAAAAGTCCGGCCCGTACCCATGACAGCTGGTAGATTTACAGGACAAGCCTTGAACTTGGAATAAGGCCAGCCCCTCACTAGAGAAATCGCGTTGCTCTGCGCGCCCTGTCTCATTTCCTTGTGAGTTATATTAAAGGGTGCGCCAAGTCAACGGCATCAGCAAAGATCTTGCCGAAGCGTGAACACAGATGTTATTGAGTTTTTGATGTAAAGGTAGTCCTTTGTTTAACTAGATACTGGTCTCAACCGTGGTGAGTCCACCACAATCGCCATATAGCCACATTTTATGTAATATCGAATCCTTTCATTGACAGAATGATCGCACGCACCTACAATAAAAGCGCTCATGAGTACCGAAATATCAACTTCATATGGAAGTGAACCACTCATTGTTCATCGAGCATGGCAGCCAAAAGTCAACACAACGGTAATTAAATAGTGTGAGCTCATGGCGGCGCGTCGACTCTCTCCGAGCAATTCGGTGTGCGGCCAATACTGACCTTTTGGATGCGCTTCCTTTCTGTGGTCATACCACTAAGGTTAAGGCCCGCATGCTGTTCAGAATCGAAGCACTGATCTGCTGTAGAGTTAAAGGCATGTGGTTGCAGCGGACGGTTGAGACATTGCCTCGTTTTCAACAGAACTCTTCGCACATGATTTCCGGTAAGAGCGGGGCTGTGCAGCCGGGATACGATTGTAATAAGCTTACGTAGTATAACGGATACAGTCACACTCAATGTGCGGTATTGTGATTGTAACCGATTTCACTCTGTATCGGGGTTACACGTACCCTGATAACAGGGGGGGGTCACACGAGGTGTGCATGATGTGG